GGTATATAGTGGCCCATCACCTTGTATATAGAGACATGTTCTACGAGTACAGCATGTCTACCACACAACGTTACAGGTTAATATAACTCCGATAGGTTATCTATACAAAAGTCCCCTTGTCATGTTAATACTGTATAACAAAATATTTGTGGGAACTTGTTTTAGTGGTTTTAGATCTATAGAACTGAAGTCATGACAAATTACAGCAGTCCGCTGGTTCATTTCAACTCAGATAACTTACTTTTTTATGTATTTGTATTTAAGTCATATTAATAGTTAAACTTTCAACCATAAATATTCCAGGTATTAGTGTATGACCTGTAAGTGACCAACCAACAAGGTCACTGTCAGGAAGTTATTGTAATCACATGGTGATCAGCTGGCTGTAAAAGACGTCATATATGGTGCTGAAATAATTGCCTGCAAACCTCAAAACCTCACTTTTATGAAACTAACTCAGCAGATTGCCCACTCCGGTATACTGCCTCCAGGTTTTCTGCTTCATTAAAACTAATACCTGGTACCTGTATATGCAATCAATACCTGCAGATAAACCTATCACAGAAATTCTCCTGTCTATGCACGCTTCCGATGTCAGACATGTGTAGCTCTCACCAACACAGATCTGACTACTCCACAAACACAAGATGGTACACTGATGATGATAATACATCATGTAATTAATAAGAAATTATTTTTCTTTTGTAATGAATTCTTTCAAAAATTATATCTTTAGAATTTCTGTATTTCCTCATGTTTTTGTTTACAATTGAAGATAAACACAATCTTGCATTTGAAAGATAGCACATAGCCTCCACTCTTGTTTATGTTTAGACTTTGTCATCTTGCCCGCTTCATCAGCTAGCCCGCAGAAGGAATTTTTCAGTGTAAAAAATGTATAGCCTGCAAGCAATACGCTAGAAATAACGGTACCCGTAGTAACATGTTCCCATATACAACAATTCCCCTCAAGTCTTGTACAGTAAAGTGCTGTGCCAAATGTAACATATCTATGATATGATTTGACCGTAGCGGTCATTCTACTGACCTAAACCGTCACCATGACGACATTTATTTATATAACAAATACCATGTAGTCGGTGTAGGTGCTCATCCATTTGGCCATCGTGGAATTGTAGGTCCCTGCGAGTACGCTTGTGTAAACCTAGATTTTAGAAAGTCCACTCACAACTTAACACTCTAAACAATGAATTGTCGTAATAGGATAACAATGCTACGTTCAACCCTCACCATTAACATATCTGATTCCATAACTCATGCTAAAGCTGGAGTGTGGCCATCCCCCAACTCTGTAATGCATAACATGATTCCTTCACCGGGTATTCACGCCATACCTAGGGTGGTGTGTACAGCAGATATCACCATTTATCGAACACGTCACTATCACATAAATCAGTGTAACCCTCACTTGCATCCATCTCATCAACATATCACAACCACTAGTGGACACCTCTCACTATACTCAGACAACACACTAGAGATTTTTTAACTTAATAATACAGACTTGCTCCTGAAAATTCAAAACTTGCAATTAGTTATAAAATTAAATGGGATGTGATGGTTTTCCTTGTGTACAAACAGCAAGATGATGACTGAAAAGAAAATATACAACCTCATGGAATAATCGTGAGTGGATGCAAAGAGTCCAAAGGTGGAAACAGGAGAGGTATAAAGTTAAAAAGATAACCAGATCATGCAAAGCTAAAGAAAAATCCAATCTATAGGTACCGAGTACAAAGGGTGCAAAGAAAACGAACAGGTCAAATCACCGTATCAGTAAATATGCTCCAAAACTACAGATAAATTCCCTTTTGTTATTGCAGGACTGGTATTGAGAATATTGTACAGTGATTATGGAGGTGTGCTATTGAACCAAACTATTTATATTAGTCTCTAATAAGTTATCCTTTATATCGTGCACTGCCTACACAGATTTAAACAGACACCTCAATACTCATGGACTGGTGTTCTTTGATATTTGTCAGAAAATAGTAAACAGGGTTTCTCAGCCTTGGCTCGTGTAACTGTCTTATAATAAGATTGAAGTCAAGACTTTTGTTGTCAAATTTTGAAAAATTGTCTTGCAAATTAGTCAGTCTAGAAAATCAATTTTGTATTTAGTGATATGAAATCATAATTTAATGGCCTTGTTAAAATTGATGTTCCAATTTTGAAATTGGCTTCTGTTCATAATGTGACATGATTTTGGGATAGACGCATCATAGAAACATGAAAAAGTTATGATTCAATTCCAAATTTCAATTGTTAAGGGATATATGTCCTGGACCCTCAAACCAGAAAAAGGATGGGGCAATTATTAGAGATTGGGTACTCTTTAGGTCAAGTACGGTAGGTTGTATTACCTCTAATTAGACTTTCCCATGCATTACACAATATAACTACTTCATACCGATTCTGATCAATCTGCCAATCACTCTTGACAGTTTTCGAGCATGCTACAGCTAAATTTCAACCTTTCAGTATAAATCCTTTTTGATAATGATACCTAATGTGACTTCAATCTTTAGTGTCCTATGTGTAATAGATCTAGGCTTGTCAGAGGCCCTGCCAATCGGAGTCACAACGTTTGCTTTAACATACTTGCCAACATTTTTTAACTTCCATGGGGAAGATTACGCGTGCTCATAATTAAAAGCATAAATAAAATGTGTTTATGTACAAGTACACCCTCGGGAAAAAATAACACTGATAAATGGCATCGTTTGGGCTGTTCTTTCAGGTGAAATCATCAGATCTTAGAAAATAAGAATAGTTTAACAAATTCACAGGTTGAAAATGCTCACTTTTGAGGTCCAAAATCGGGAGTATCCTTCCTATATAGGGAGGGTTGGCAAGTATGCTTTAACCCTTTTACTTACGAATTTATAAATGCAGTGACAAATTTTGACTGTTAGGTCTGAAATATTCTCAAAGAAAACAAATTGATTTTTGAAATATAACATAACTAAAATCAGGAATAGGTGCTTTTAATGAATTAACACAAATCTGCTCACCTGAGTGTTTACCAGAGGAACCCCTAGGGGGTCCCCACCGTGGGGGGCCTCGATAATACAAAGCAACAGCTCACACTTCTAACGAAGATAACTGGAAGGACAGCAATCATGCCACAACAAAAGTCACAAAAATTAAAACAAAAATAAATTTTTAAAAAGTGCTGAAAAAAAGGAGGAAGTAAAATATGGCAAAACGAGGTGATAAAAATAAATAAATATGATCACAGGGTTACGGGAAAGCATGCGAAACATTACAGATCACGTGTTGGGGACGTTTTATACAAGTCTAGTGTTGAACAGGGTAACACCCTGGTAAGGAAGATGTCAGATTGTCTCTTGTTTTAGTGCTACAGGTCGTCTGTGGGTAAATATTTCTAGTATCTGTTTCACTAATATTCTACGTAAACTAATCACTTTTGTTCAATTTTAAAATTATATGTTCATTTAATTCTGCCTCGTTAAAAATAACACCTTACTGCTTGTGAATGTTTCCATTGAATTCAAGGTGCGTATGAGATATAATATCATGCATAATATGATAAAAAATGACAGTGAGGAATATCAATATTTTCAAAAGTTTTGTGATCAGTCAACAATATTTGGTGAAGTTGGTTTATAATGAATTAAGCAAATAGTGAAATCTACAAAAATCTGTGGTTTAAAAAAGGGAAAATAAAACCATTTCTACATGGTAGCAAACCTACGTGAACCTGGGGTGGTTTGTAGTTAGTATGTTAGTGTATTATACCGCTTATGTAACTATTGCTGAGGCAGTATATATATACCAATATACTGACTAAATCTGATAACCCCATCACCAGGCGGATCAATATATGTTGCACAAATTAGTTTAAAATAGCGCTTTTAACCTTTAAATCCCATGTCATAATTTGATCAGACACATATCTGAGATTATCTATCGTTTTTTATATATTTTGTTTTCTTTTTAATTTGATATATTTCTAACACCATAACATGATTATGTAATCATTATCTAGAAAATTATTAATAAAAAAGTTTCATGAACTTTCTTTTCCTTCTTTTGAAGAATACATGAACATGTTATGTGTTGTTCCCCTATTTTTTCTTATATCTTATGCTGATGATATTTTAAGATATTTTGAGCAAATGATACAAAAATTACAAACTGAACAAAACATACAATTACTGAAAAACCTTGCACTATTTATGATTGAGACCGACTAAGTGGAAATGTGCCAAAAATACAAGCTTCTTCAAACTTTAAAACAACTGAGAACTATACCTGATGCATGAACATAACTATATGCAATTTCAGCGCAAAAATTTAAAACTCAAAATCAATCTTAGAAATTATTACAAAAAAGCTAAAAAATACAATTCTGTAAAAATCATAGAATATTATACCCTGATATAGATCTGACCAAATAAATGAAAAATAGAACAGCTTTGCTGGCAAATGAATTTCACCATTGAGTCTCTTGGTGGTGGTTATATTTTTAAGGATCCCTGTACCACTGCCAGAAACTGTAACTATGCCTGGGACATTGTTTTTTCCGTTGTAAGTATAGCTTTAATAAATCATTTCTGGGAAAAAAATCATAGCTTGCAGGACTTTTATGAGGAAATTAATAAAGATGAAATAAACAAAAAAAAACCAATAACAGTGTTCTGAGATAGAAAATTTAACAGGGCTATAGACCAGGATTGGAACCCTGGACCTCAGATTGTTATACCGTTGCCCTAATAAAATGAGCTACTTGGCAATGGAAGTGCCTTGGCATACTGCGCTACATTTACATCCAAAACAAAATTAAGGGGAGATTACTTGTGTATGAAAATCCATAAAGGAATTCTCTAGTGTTTCGTCTGCAGTGGGACAGGGTTCCTTAAAATTCAGTAAGATTTCCATGTCATTGGCTAGCATAGCTGTCGTAGTAAAGATAGTGAGTAGGTAGTGCTCGGCTAGAGAGTAGAATGTGGTACCATTGATCTATACATCCCCAAGTAACTACTCGTCCATTTTTCCAGTTCTATATGTTTGAGAGCAAGAGGGCGGGCAATCACATCCACATATTCCTGTAAGGTTGTATACAAGCACATATCTTAACACACCGTTCCAGCATGTCACTACATCAAAGGTGAACTTTGGGGGGGTATACATAATTACTCAAACAAATACTGGCCTATCAGAATGGAAAATGTGTAGACCTAAATAAGGCACTAAACTTGATAATACCATTAAGAAAATATTAATAAATAACACCTGTTTTACATAAACTTCACTCCGTCAGCTGGGCATACAGCTACAGTTCTGCTGATAGCTTCCTAGTCCACATTACCGTAACAATTTCAATTCTGACTAGTTGAAAAGGTATTTACTATATTTATTCACTTTGCTATTAAATTAATATGAAAATTGAGGTCCCCAACCTACACATTAAAATCGGTAGATATTTGAGTGAAAGTATTGACCCACTCGTTTCAGGTTAAAAACATAAAGGTTCAATAAGCTAATCTGTATTATTTTCATTCTAAAATCAATAGTAACACTGCAAGCTGATGCGAACATTGCATATATATGTATATACCATACCAACACAAACAGACAAGCAGAGGGGGCCTGTTCACAAGGGGCGGGAGAGCGCACAGTAAGGGGAGATAAATCGGGAGAGTATATAATATAAGACACTGCTAGGGTCACGGTATAACACGAAGATTGGGAATGTATTAGTTAGTTTTATTCCACACAGGGTTTTGATATTCTCACATCCACACTAACAGAACATGGGTAAAGCATTACCCGTACAATCTATATTAGATATACAAATCAAGCTAGCCCATATTCAATATTCAAGATACTTAAAGACTGGAATAGATGATCGCTTACATTTTTATAAGGCTACTTTTCTTTGCTATATGTAACGACATGATATGTGTTTACAAACCTAAAACAAAATGCATGTAGAATCATGACGAAACTATGTTTTTTCAGTAATTAACACCAATAGGTAGAGTCCCTAATTCTTCTAATCACACAGGCATTAATTAATACATATCCTGCTGAGAAGTACATTACGGTTTATACAGTATGCTGCGGAAGTTAGCTCATTCACAATGGGCAAGGCTTTACACATACACATCACACAGGGATAAACAATATTGACAGTCCCAAATAATCAGTTAATATTTTCTTCGTCTGTAAAACTGACAAAGAATATTGTTTTAATACAAGGACTGATAGAAGTACACTGCTATTGACAATCAATTATATATGGTACGTTAATAATGACAATCAATAATAGTTTGCTTACATAGGTACTGCAATAACATACACAAATATAGACAATAATTTAGTAAGTAATGTCAGGTATTATCTTTACATTACCATTAAAGCAGAATGGAGAAGAAAGGATCATTTTTTTTTGGTAATGCATTTAGTCATATGATAATGAAAACCAATCAATCTCGTCATAAGAAGTAATTATCTGCTGCTAATATAATTCCTATCCACGGTATCTCTCATCCTCGTTGACTTACCTGTACTTTAGCTCGGATAGCACCCATAGCTGGAATCTCGGAGAAACGGCCTACAATCACACAGTAATCATTGATGAGTTACAAGGGATAGCTGTACCAGTTAACAAAGGTACAAGGTTTACAGCTTTAAAAAGGTTTTAAAAGGGTAAGGTAAAACTTTAAATAAATATAAATTGGGTTATATACCCTTTCATTAACAAACCAGACTGTAACCGACTGAGAAGACTAAACATAAACAGAGTAATCCCCCTTACCTAAACAAACCAGACTCACACAGACTGAGAAGACTTAATATAAACAGGGTTATGCCCCCTTTCATTAGCACAGACTGAGAAGACTAAATCTATACAGGATAATCTCCCCTTTCCTTAACAAACCAGACTGTCACATGACTATGAAGACTAAATATATACAGGGTTATCTCCCCTTTCATTAACAGACTAATATATACAGGGTTATCTTCCCTTTCATTAACAGACTAAATATAAACAGGGTTATCTCCCCTTTCATCAACGTACTAAATATATACAGGGTTATCTCCCCTTTCATTAACAGCCTAAATATAAACAGGGTTATCTCCCCTTTCATTAACAAGCCTGAGTAGATTGAGCATCTCCTTTTCCATATGTAGCATGCACTCTAATGCACTTTTGAGTGCACTTAATTAATTAAGATGTGCAGAGCACTTCATTTAGACTACAGCTAAACCTGTAGTACATCTGACCCCTGTGGTGTTATCAAGTTAGCTCTGATATATTGTTACATGTTATACAATTCAACATTTTAGAAAATGTATATGTTCATAAAATTTATACATGTACTGTGCTTTTTTATTGCATTAATTTCCATAAACTTTCCATAACCCGATTATCTCATATTTCATTCCCAAACAGACATTCACAGAGCGAGCGTGTCTCCTTTTTCCATATACGATGTAGTTCTATGTCCAATATCTTATCATATTGAAGTAGAAAGAAATGTTTGATGTGTTTTCAACAAATTCCAGAGGATATGCCATCTTGTTACCCAACAAGCAGTCACAGTTATTTCTTAAAATGATTGATGTGACCAGACCAATGTCACTACAAATAAGTTTATTTCCAAAACAGGATCATTTCTGTGTATCTACACCAGGCTCAAATACTATAACAATGCAGTAAGACCTTGTTGTATTAAAACCATTTGAAAGGGTTTGGTTATACATAAATGGAATAAAGGAATTGGTTAGGAAAACAGAATTAGGTGGCAATGATATGAAAGTAAGGCGGAAAATGAGATGAAGGATATTACATCAAGGTTGTACTGTACATATCAAACACTGTTTACATGTGAGATGACCTCCCATAATGCCGACACAAACCTCTGTTAGCACAAGACATCCACTTGATGTCCTTTACCGAGTTGGCAGTTTGGCCCACAGCGTAAGTGAATACTCGAATCTAAAACAAAATGCCACATATAAATTAGCGATAACTCCTATTTTCTAATACCTGAGCATGAAGCAAATTAAAATAAAAAATTTCTGAGTCGATTACGATAAATAAAGTATGTAATACTATAAAAGTGGAAACGTTCCTGCAATGACTGTTTAAATAGATTGCAGTGTGAACCTTTTTGCATTGACAATGGTTAAAAAAATCTGTATATCCAATAAATCTATGATTTATATGATCTATAAATATATATATTCCTGTGTGGATATTTTCGCATTAATTTACACAACAGGAAAAAGGTTAACATTTCCACACCGCGAACATTTCCATTTTTCAACTGTTGCTAAGGCACTCATAGCCCTGGTTGATCAGCCTTGACATTGAGCAAATGACCCTAGATATTAATGATATGGTCTTAGCTTCTTAATTCTAGGGATTGAACACACCACACAGTCCTTGCCCTAGTTCATTAAACATAAGGACATGGAACCAATCTAATTAAAATTAAATTTTCAATCGCTCCCGTTTACTGATATGTCGCGTTGAAGATCTAACAACATCTCGTAGAGTGTCATGTTCAGGAAACCTTTGCATTAACCAATTAGATGAGAGCTTACACATTTCTGTAAGTGATGATTTAATGATTTCGGAACACACTTGCTATGATAAAAGACCGAGAGGCGTCAAATGAGCATGGCGGCGCCCATGACACCACGCCGTGTCTATCTACAAGACAACGTTTGTACAATTTGTGGATTTTGCTTTGAAATAAGAGAGACTTCCTCTTCTGGTGATGTTGTCGTTACAAAGTTTTACAACCTGAAACTAAAATTAACCAATGACAGGCTACGCAATATTCAAACTATCACTGGACCAGATGAAAAAGTGGATTTTGGGCTACAAGGTGTCTGCATTAAATGCTACAGGTCTTGCTTTCTGATTGGTTAAAAGAAAGAGTTATGTCGCGTTTTGATTGGCTTGTTAAAAATACGAAAAATGCATTCATGTTGACCTCTGACGTGACCCTCTATGGGATGTTGTTAGATCATCAACGTGACATATCAGTAAACAGGAGCGATGTGAAGATGTAATTTTAATTAGATTGACATGGAACATATTGTCTTGTAACAAGTTAATTACCCCTACAGACACTGACTATGCAGTCATGGGCTCAGTAATCCTACAGACACTGACTATATGCAGTCATGGGCTCAGTAATATAATCCTACAGACACTGACTATGCAGTCATGGGCTCAGTAATCCTCCAGACACTGACTATGCAGCCATGGGCTCAGTAATCATACAGACACTGACTATGCAGCCATGGGCTCAGTAATCATACAGACACTGACTATGCAATCATGGGCTCAGTAATCCTCCAGACACTGACTATGCAGCCATGGGCTCAGTAATCATACAGACACTGACTATGCAATCATGGGCTCAGTAATCCTAGAGACACTGACTATGCAGTCACTAGCTCAGTAATCCTACAGACCCTGACTATGCAGTCATCGGCTAAGTAATCCTACAGACACTGGCTATGCAGTCATTAGCTCAGTAACCCTACAGACACTGACTATGCCGTCATGGACTCAGTAATCCTACAGACACCGACTACGCAGTCATTAGCTCAGTAAGCCTACAGACACTGACTATGCAGCCATGGGCTCAGTAATCATACAGACACTGACTATGCAGCCATGGGCTCAGTAATCATACAGACACTGACTATGCAATCATGGGCTCAGTAATCCTCCAGACACTGACTATGCAGTCACTAGCTCAGTAATCCTACAGACACCGACTATGCAGTCATCGGCTAAGTAATCCTACAGACACTGGCTATGCAGTCATTAGCTCAGTAATCCTCCCGACACAGACTATGCAGTCATTGGCTCGGTAATCCTACATACACTGACTATGCAGCCATGGGCTCAGTAATCATACAGACACTGACTATGCAATCATGGGCTCAGTAATCCTCCAGACACTGACTATGCAGTCACTAGCTCAGTAATCCTACAGACCCTGACTCTGCAGTCATGGGCTCAGTACTCCTACAGTCACTGACTATGCAGTCATTAGCTCAGTAACCCTACAGACACTGACTATACAGTCATGGGCTCAGTAATCCAACAGACACTGACTATGCAGTCATCGGCTCAGTAGGATTATATTACTGAGCCCACGACTGCATATAGTCAGTGTGTGTAGGATTACTGAGCCCATGATTGCATAGTCAGTGTCTGTAGAATTACTGAGCTAATGACTGCGTAGTCGGTGTCTGTAGGATTACTGATCTAATGACTGCATAGTCAGCGTCTGTAGGATTACTGAGCGCATGACTGCATAGTCAGTGCCTGTAGGATTACTGAGTCCATGACGGCATAGTCAGTGTCTGTAGGGGTAATTAACTTGTTACAAGACAGTCCATGACTGCATAGTCAGTGCCTGTAGGATTACTGAGTCCATGACGGCATAGTCAGTGTCTGTAGGATTACAGACACTGACTATGCAGTCATGGGCTCAGTAATCCTACAGACACACAACAGTTTTACTCGTACGTGGTAAACCCTATAGACACTGACCATGCGGTCACGGCCCCAGTTACGCTCCTTGAACACCTCCTCCGCCATGTCAGTGCCTCCATCAGTCAACAACATGATCATCTTGTTGCAGTCCGCACCCTCTCCTGCTGATGATCTGTTCATATCTGCAAACTTGTCCTCAAACTGATAAACAACATCAAAGTCAACAATAGGCAAAAACGTACATTGTTCTTGAGCATACTGCAAATCACTTCAAGTCCTCTACAACAATGCACGGTCATATCAGGATATATTGCATATCTCCTACCACAACACAGTGTCACAGTACAAACATCTATGGATTTTTATCAGATAAATGTTTCACAATATTTAATTATACTTGAAAGGCACAGGCAGTGTAATGACTTGAACCATACCCTTCTGCTGCGACCTTGACTTCAAAATATACTCAAGTTTGACACCAAATTAATGCTGAGGTGTGACCTTGGTGAGGTTCAATTTATCATTGAATTATCAATTTTATGATAGATTTAAGGTTCTCTGTAGAATTTTTTTCAAACTGCTGTTAGCATATGTCATATGTTTACAAAGTTTCAAGCACAAAATTGTATTTGACCCTCATACACAAATACTCTGCAGTGACCAAAAATGCAGATCAATTGAAATTTGAATATGATAAACATCAATTGTGTTCAGCAGCCCATAAATGAAACAAATATTTATTATTGACCTGCAATTTAAACATATTTTAAATGCAATATTGTCCTTTGAAATTGTGAACTGTAAGCAAAATAAACATGTTTTGCATCATCAATTATCTGCACAAGATTCACTGAAATTATATTTTTTTTTAAATATTCTGCAATTCCAGGATTTTTTTTAATTTTATATAAAATTGATTCCCCCCCCCNCCCCCCCCCAACATCTTTGAAAGGCGAGTCAAGCTGAAACTGCTACCTAAACTAACTTGAATTTGCAGGAGAAGGTGTGATCACTGATGCACATAGAAAACCTATCAGGTAAGATTCCCCTTACAAATGGCTTGCATTCCAGTACACGATAACATGCGCCAGATCTGTAAGTTAACACGTGAACTTTGGCTTCTTAAACCCTGATTTTCCTGGCCTCGTCAGAATGAATCTTAATTAAAGGGTGTTAATTATTGATTAAGGCCGCTAAACTGACATCGTTTTATTATACAAGCAGCAGGGTGATAATGTGCTAATCATCCTGTAGTTAATTACTGGATCTCTGACTGCCTCCCCAAGATCACACTCCTGTTTAGGACTACCGCCAGTTGTTGGCACAATTCCAGCACCAATTAATTTCTGTTTTTAGTGTCTTTTTCACCACAATTTCGACTCGAAACAAGTTACAATTGACTGTTTGAATCATTCCCCTGCTCAGTATGGAGGTCTTTCCCCTATGGATTTACACAAGAACTTGTAACAGAATTACTCGAAGTGCTTTTGTTGGGTTATAATTTGTATTTAGGCTGAAGAAATATTTTCAAATACATGAATAAGGTATATCGGTAACAGAGGTAATTATTTTTGACCTGCTGTCGTTATGTTCCTGATCCGGAGACCTTGTGAAATATCGGTAGCAGATAAAATACATAAACAAACTAAACCCATCATGTACTGTAAGTTACTTCACTGAATTTAGCCCTTCTCTGATATCATAAAGAGGTCGCACTCATTTTTTGCATCAACTATCTATAAATGTTTCACTTCTTAAGTTAAATTTATAGGAAGATTTATTTTACATTAACTGCATTTTTCTTTTTGTAATTATGTTTTTTCAAATGTGTTTGAAACAGAATTTGAAATAATTTTTTACCTTTTCAAACTGTTCAAATGCAAAGTTGAGGCCAACTTTGAAATTTGCCATGCCATTTGCTGTCAGAGCATCAACAGCTTTCCCCAGGAGCTGATAATGAGAAACAATACAACAGATTAAATACCCTTCCTACCACCCATGTACAGTAAAACCTGGTCAAGGAAACACTTGACCGGTCAAAATACCTCTAACTTCTACTCCTTTATAGCAAAAACCTGGTCAAATAAACCCTTGGCTGGTCAAAACCCCTCCCCCGTTAAATACCCTTCCTATCACCCATGTACAACAAAACCGGGTCAAGGAAACACTTGACCGGTCAAAATACCTCTAACTTCTACTCNCTAAGTAAAACTTGGACAGGTCAAACACTCCTCCAACAAACCCTTTACAGTACAAGTGGTCAACTAAATCTTGGACAGGTCAAACACTCCTATCATCAGTAGAACCTGATCAAGTAAAGCTTATATGCATCTTCCACTCCCCTACAGTAAAAACTTGTTCCAGTAATCCTTTGACGAGACAAACCCCTCATTTTGTCGACATGTAAGTAAATAATCCTGATTGCTTTCCTCACAAATCTCCATCATCTTGATAACTTGTATCTTTTCCCCCTAAACCCTCCCTCATCTTGATAACTTGTATCTTTTCCCCCTAAATTCAACAAGCTGAAGTCAAGTGAGTTGCACTAAAAGTCAATAAAACGGCCTCTTACCCCTATACCCATACAAGTAACAGTAAAATACCCCTATCATTAAATCAATGAAGATGAGATAATTTTTATTGAAACACAAACCTTCTTGTTTCTATAATTAGCTTGCACAAACGTTTTAAAACAGCTCACATAGTCAGCTTCAGTTGAAAACTGAAAAAAAAGGAAAAAATGTATTAACCCAAATTTACCCAAAAAAATGATAGTTTTTATATACATCCTAAAAGTCTATATACATCCTCAAAGTCAAAGCTAACAAGAGGCCCAGGGGGCCTGTATCGCTCACCTGAATATTTAAGCAGTCATAGCAAAAAATTCTCTTTAAGTATTATATTGCATTTTAAATATTTCCCTCGCAAACTTTGTCGGCTTCATCTGTTGAAACTATCAGCCAAATATTATTATAAGATTCTATGCTTTTAAGTTCTTCTTCAGAAATTACTTGACATATTTTCCCTGTGACCTTGTAAGTAGGTCAATGTCATTTTCCTTCTCATACTTTGTTAGCTCTATCCCAGGAAGCCACCAGCCAAATATTATAATTTTATGCCTTCGATTATTCAGAAGTCGTTTGATGTTTTTGACATATTTGACACCTGTGACCTTGAAAAAAGGTTAAGGTCATTTTCGTCCTCAAACTTTGTCAGCTCTATCTCAGGAGCCAACAGCCAAATATAAAGATTATATACCTTTTAGTTCTTCAGAAGAAGTCGTTTGAAGCGTTTGACATATTTGACCCCTGTGACCTTGAAAGTAAGCCAAGGTCATTTTCATTATCAAACTTTGTTGGGCTTCACCCCAGGAAGTAATCAGCCAAATATGAAGATTATATACCTTTTAGTTATTCGAAGAAGTCGTTTGAAGCGTTCAACACATTTGACCCCTGTGACCTTGAAAGTAGGTCAAGGTTATTTTCATTCTCAAACTTTGTCGGGCTCTATCTCATGAAGCCAACAGCAAAATATTAAGGTTCTATACATTTTCTTTCTTCAGAAGAAATCATTTAAAGAGATTGACATATTTGACCACTGTGACCTTGAAAGTAGGTCAAGGTCATTTTCATTCTCAAATTTTGTTGGGCTCCATCCAAGGAAGCCAACAGTCAAATATGAAGATTCTATACCTTTTAATTCTTCAGAAAGTCGTTTGAAATTTTTGTCATATTTGACCCCTGTGACCTTGAAAGTAGGTCAAGGTCATTTTCATTCCCAAACTTTGTCAAGCTCCTACAAACGAAGCTTTCAGCCAAATATCATGACTTTAGGCCTGTCCGTTCTTCAGAAGAAGTTGTTTAAAGGAAAAGTTGATGGACGCCGTACCATGACATAAGCTCACTTGCCCTTCGGGCAGGTGAACTAATAATGTTGTTTCAATGTCAAAGGATCCATTTACATCCCTATACAGTGATGAAATTTACAATTTTTAACTCTCTTTTTTCTTTTTAAATATTACTTCTTAAACAAAAAAGTAGTTGAGAAAACATTACAGAAACTAAGCACATCATTATGTAGCAGGTTCAGAGGTGCAAGACCATTCTGAATTTCAACAAACTCAAATGTGTTGATGACCAACCATAATGATCTGTACAAAGTCGTTCTCTCCGAGTGTGTCCAGGATTGACTTGACTGCGACCTTGACCAGCTGTAGGGTTTTGCCGTGGACACTTCCGCTCCTGAAACATACATTATACATAGTGATCATTAGTATGAGGTCCTGTCTCGGGAGGGGATACCTGTTTATGTGTAAACATACCTATAAATAAATCTGGACATCCCATGCCTATCAATAAAGAGAAACATGCCAAACCTATTAGTGAAGAGAAAAGGACAAATCCAAGGGGGTCTGGGATATAAGTTATACAATGAGAGTACCGTCGCGGGATCAGAGCAAGGTAAGCCCATCCAATGCCATGCAGAAATTAACTTGGAACTTAGTCTTTGTCTCGGTATGATTTGAATATTGACCTTAATCAGAATCTGGTCATATTTAATCAAGTCATTGAGAGGGAACCATTGACCAATCAGAGTGCAGTTTGCAAACTGCACCTGTTTCGCTCAACTTCATACTTAACCATGGTCTTTGTATATTGTACATGCACAAGTTCCTTGAAAATCAAACAATATTATGCAAGTAATCTCACAGAAATTAAAGTGTGAACATTAATTATTTAGAGAACAGTATCGAAAATATTTATACAAAACCCAGCAGGGGACCAGCTATATATATATATATAGACATATAAGTTTAGGGGACCCAAGGGGACAAGATATATCAAAATATATCTAAGTTAAAGAACCCTAGGGGACTGGAGATTTTTAAATAGTTCACTAAAACTGACATGCAAGACATTAAACTGACATGGTTTTATTACGGAGTCAGCTATAACACGTGCATGTTATGCTGTAATGTGGTGGGTTTCTTATGTTATATAGATAACACTGTTAGAAAACCATTTTTTCATTTCAGTACGTTCGATCAAATGTGGAAAAAAATGTCACAAATCACTAATAGATATTTATACTGACAATTAAATCAAGATACATTGTTTACGACTTGATAAATATTTTCTAAGTGCAGTGAAGAGTGATGTCTTGGTAAGACATGGATACAGACCTGTCGATGAGGATGAGCATGTCCTTGGGAGAGCTCGAGCCCTGGGTGTACCTGCAGACATACAGTGATGTATTACACTCACACAAAAAACACTGAATTTCCCTGGAGTAGCCATATACTGTTATCACACTGGGGGAGACACCAGATGATAAAATTGAAAAAAAATAGCCCGGTTGCATTTCAATGATTTCAAGTCCTTAGTATTGCAGCAACCATTTCAGATGATATTAGTGTTTTCTGATTCTGGGTTTAGAATAAAATTTCAAGCACATTTTCCCCTGCCAGCCCTCAAACAAAAGTTGTTTCCTCAAACATTTCACTATTTTTCAAGGTCATTGATTTCGTAGTAAAGTCAAAGCGATGTTCACACTGACTATACAATGATAAATACAGCTAGGAGATATCCTTATCACATACATACCAGGGTCTGCGTCTGACGTCATACAGGTCTACCTCGTCATCAGGTGTTGTCCACAAACTCCCTGAAAAAACATAGCAACCACTGCATCAAACTCTACCTGTAATCACTCTCTATACCCCTAAACCTTACCTATAACCACTCCCTGTGACCTCCCAACTCTACCTATAACCACTCCCTGTAACCTCCCAACTCTACCTATAACCACTCCCTGTAACCTCCTAACTCTACCTATAACCACTCCCTGTAACCTCCCAACTCTACCTATAACCACTCCCTGTAACCTCCCAACTCTACCTATAACCACTCCCTGTAACCTCCCAACTCTACCTATAACCACTCCCTGTAACCTCCCAACTCTACCTATAACCACTCCCTGTATCCTCCCAACTCTACCTATAGCCACTCCCTGTAACCTCCCAACTCTACCTATAGCCACTCCCTGTAACCTTCTAACTACCTATAACCACTCCCTGTAACCTCCCAACTCTACCTATAGCCACTCCCTGTAACCTCCCAACTCTACCTTTAACCACTCCCTGTAACCTCCCAACTCTACCTATAACCACTCCCTCTAACCTCCCAACTCTACCTCTAGCCACTCCCTGTAACCTTCTAACTACCTATAACCACTCGCTGTAACCTTCCAACTCTACCTATAGTCACTCCCTATAACCTCTTCATTTCCTCTACCTGTAATCACTCTCTATACCCCTAAACCGTACCTATAACAAGTCCTTATAACCTCTCACCTTTACCTATATAACCACTCCCTGTAACCCCCCAACTCTACCTTTAACCACTCCCTGTATCCTCCCAACTCTACCTTTAACCACTCCCTGTAACCTCCCAACTCTACCTATAACCACTCCCTATAACCTCTTAATTACCTCTACCTATAACCACTCCCTGTAACCTCCCAACTCTACCTATAACCACTCCCTGTAACCTCCCAACTCTACCTATAGCCACTCCCTATAACCTCTTCATTACCTCTACCTGTAATCACTCTCTATACCCCTAAACCTTACCTATAACAAGTCCTTATAACCTCTCACCTTTACCTATATAGCCACTCCCTGTAACCTCTTAATTACCTCTACCTGTAATTACTCTCTATACCCCTAAACCTTACCTATAACCAGTCCCTATAATCTCTGACCTCTACCTATAACCACTCCCTGTAACCTCCCAACTCTACCTATAGCCACTCCCTTTAACCTCTTAATTACCTCTACCTATAACCAGTCCCTGTAACCTCTGACCTCTACCTATAACCAGTCCCTATAACCTCTTGCCTCTACCTATAACCAGTCCCTGTAACCTCTTACCTCTACCTATAACCAGTCCCTGTAACCTCTGACCTCTACCTATAACCAGTCCCTATAACCTCTTGCCTCTACCTATAACCAGTCCCTATAACCTCTTATCTACCTATAACCAGTCCCTATAACCTCTTACCTCTACCTATAACCAGTCCCTATAACCTCTTACCTCTACTTATAACCAGTCCCTATAACCAATAACTCATAACTTTAGTTACTCCCAGGAACATCTAACCCTAATTTTAACAAACATGCCAGATATCACGGTGTGAGGCAACATCTCACAGATTTTCACCTCCGATAAAGTCTCACGGCGTGGGACATGAATTTACGGAAAGTCCTTAAACCCTCACCTTTTTTAATGATCGATCGGTGAACCATTTTCCTGTTGTTGTTTACTCAAAGTCTTACGAGATTCAACAATGTTTTCAGAATAATCACAAGAGCTCTCGAGTAGCGGTCATGTGATTCGTCATGTGATCGAAGAGCTCTTCCGATAACTTTCGGAAAATTTAGCTGGTTGAAATGGCCTGGTTAAAATTGTGAGTTGATTTCGGTGTCTTTTACAATAAGTAATCTATTTGAACAATTAAAATGAATTCATAGTTTGATCCTTTCCTATTGTTGCCATTGATTTCCGGGATACTACAGAATCCCTGACATGCTTAGTCTTAACCACTGTGCGACGGTATCAGCTTCAGTATCAAAATTTCCAGTGAAGTTGATACCTCACACTGTCAGTAGAATTAGCACGAAACATGTTTTCTGTCATGTTTGTAAGATTATTTCATTGCTAGAAACTTTGATAAATACGATGTCCGGCTAAGTGTTTCTTTACAAATATGATTTCACTACGAAAGTAAAGAGGACGACCAGTAAATATATAAGGGGCATGTCATGAAGAAGATGGAAAAAGTCTTTGTTCTGAATGCTGAAATATGTTATTTAAAAGTTCAAATGCTGAACACAGTTTTCTTCACATTCACAGTTGATTATTTCTATCCTCTTGTTAAATGCGTGTTTCAAGATTCTGTTACATTATCAAGAAGTTCAAATGTAAATGAACATAGACAACTATTATCCTTAGTTTTACAAACCCATCCAAATACACAATTCAAAGTTTAAACTGAACATTAGTAGTACTGTGGCTGCTGTGAATATTGGCCTGTCCAACTTAACTTCGATTTTTTTTAAAGTAAAATCTGCTTTGTGCTATTAAACATATATAATCATAATCAATATATATATACACAAAAAAACTTACCAAAATTTTTTGCTTTATTTCATTAATTTAGTTGAGTAAGATAGACTTTTTGCCGTGAAAAAAACAGCTTAAAACCTCCCTTATTTTAACCTCAATTCCCTTAAATTGATTGTAAAACTCACAGATTGGTCTTCAAGATTTCTGGCATGTATGTTATAACCACTTCCTATAAACTCTTCCCCTACTTATAATAGACCAGATTGTCTACTGTAGTTTGTATATATATTCTCCCCTAGGCTTCACTTTCACCAATCCTGCCCTTTTGATTGGCTGACATTAATACTCCCAATGGGGATATTCCTTTCTGAGGTGGCATCTGGCATTTTTTGCAGAAAAGGCTAATTTTCTCTTTCTTACAATTTCTCCTATCTAGCTTATGTTGCCTTGGTCAGTTCTACACACCATGGCTTTTGAGGTCATGGAAAAGAATGTTGGTTGTGTATTGTCAGTTTTAACCAAGAATGGGCCTGAATGGCCATTTCTTCTAACCTCACATCATTGATAAGGACATGAACCTGCTTGTTAACACAAAAATGTAAGAAAATGATCAATTTTGAAATAAAACATTTTCAAACTTAACTTTTTAATCCATACTGATGCATCATCTCACCGATGCTTCCAATGTGAACAAAAAGAAATTCCAAAACTCAAAGCAAACTAAACATTTGTCATTTGAATTGATGAATCATCCCTCGTTTGGTCAGGATTGATCCTGACCAAGATGGTGGCCCTAATTTGTCTTGGTATCAAAGAGTGCAGCCTAATGGAGAGAAATGGTTCTAAGGTGAACAAGTCCAGTATATACCAATAATCACTTGGTAACCTCTGACCCATACCTGTATCACTCCCTGTAGCCTCTCACTTTTTTTTTTTTACATATCAAAACTTTATATTTATTTTACAACAATTAATTGTGAAACAAGTGATATCAGTCCCAGATGCTAGCACATGGGAGGGAGGGGGGGTCTTAATGTGGCAGGAAACCATAGTACCCATAGAGAACCCACATGGTCGGGCAGGTGACTCCTCTTGGTGGGTGAGAGGGCTATTCACTATGCCATCTGACCACCCTAGTATGTATATACCATTCACTATACCACCTAAACTCTACTTATTATCACTTCCTATAGTCCTTAAAGTATACATATAATAACATCCAATAAACCTCTAACTCTACCTGTATCCGACATAATAACCTGTAAACCTTATCTTTATCACTCCCTAGAACCTCCAACCCTTACATATAATCCTTCCCTATAATCTCCAAAGAAAACATATATCATCACACACTATACCATACATGTTATCATTAAAATATCATTCTGTCCCTCTAAATTTTGTGTGAAGTGCATAAAAACTACTAAAAGTTGATATATTTACTAAATCCAGTCCCCACTGACATTGATCTAGTATTATGGAGCTGTTAAAAAGCCTAAATTATGGATGTGTTATATGTTTGGGACACTCAGACAGGATTTTGCCTCTATATGTGTGTGAAGGGTACAGGCCACAGCCATTTTCAACTCATCCATCTTACAGGGGGTGAATTATTCAGTACCCTTTTATCACCAAGACCCGTCAGCATGAGGGGCACCAACAGTAAGAGGCAGACTTCTTTAAGAATGTACCAGAGTGTCATCATTCAGCAATATCTTGTTGATAGAGAGCGCAAGGGTCTGACCTGGGGCTGTCTACGCAAGACCAGTAGGGTAAATCAGGGACACTTTTAACAGGTAAAACTAACAGGTATTCCAGAAGCACTGGATACTATATATTACCTGGGAATGTTCTCATGAAGCCGGTCTGACTGCCAAAGTACTGCCACAGAATGTCGTCATCTTGCTGGTAGTTCTCCTCGAATACCGTGTCTAAGTGGTCCGACCACATCAAGCCGTTCAGAATGTGAATGTCTGACAAAATAAAAAAAGTCACCACTATAAATACATCTAACTTGATCAAACATCAAATATGTTTTGTGTGATATCGTATAAACACAGTTCTTTTCAATTCAATTGTACAAGACAACAGCGCTTAAATAGACTCTCACACATCTATGACGAGGTAGTAGGTACCAAACAATTCCAAACAGATTTGATGATGTGATTATCATTTCGTACATTAACAACACTTCCATAAGTGTCCATACACTTAAAGTGTATAGTGAATCAAACTTTGAACTTTCAATCTGATCGTCATCTCACACATATTTTACACTGTATAGTGAACAGATGCTTTACCAGAAAGTGACAGAGTACATACTTTATACTGTATAGTGAACAGATGCTTTACCAGAAAGTGACCAAGTACATACTTTACACTTTATAGTGAACAGATGCTTTACTAGTCATTTGTCTGCTGAAAGTGACAAGAGTCCATATTTTACTATTCATTGAAATGTCACACATCAACATTTCACTGGTCGTGCTATATGAACCTATTAACCCGATTATTAAAATGTTTCAAAATAGAAGTAAATTTACAAACATGCATTTTTACAAAAAGTAGAAGAACAAAATTCCTTTTAGCTCCTCTTTGGAAATTCCAATTTCATGAATTATTGATAACCTTTCCGAACAAAAATCTGAAGTTCAAAACATTACAGGAGATTTTCTTTCTATAACATAAATACTGAGAAAAGCGCAATGTTGGAGACATTCTCTAATGGGAAATCACCATTAACTTTTATTCCTTTATTACATTGATGACTTCACAAATATTAACTTGCACAACAGATTATTTATTACATTCATCACCTTATGGATAACGAAAAAGAAGCAAATATTAAAAGCCTTAACTCATTTACCCCTGAAATTTTATAATGAACTACTCCAAGCTTTGAATTGGAAGAGTTCAAATGTGTCTTCAGTGATGAGTGAGTTAAACAATAGCATGTTAGAATGGTGAGAGTAACACTGACCTCCCTCATATATCTCGACGGGGATGTGGACACTGGAGCGGGTGGCATTGATCTGCTGTTTGAACCTTTCGCTGTATTCCAGGTGGTCCAGCAGCTGACCAGGTTCCTTGGAGTTCCAGTAGTCGACGTTACCCAGCTACAGGAAATCACATCAATCAAAACGCAATGTACAATACTTTGGTTAAGGGAGTATTCATTTCCATTTAATTTAGTATTCATTTCTATTCAATTTAGTATTCATTTCTATTCAATTGATGTAAAGGATCCGTATGCCACTGCAGGTAAAACAATAGAGAATTCCACTATTTTTGGTACATGCAGTACCTCCCCTTAACTCATTCATCCCTGAAAACCCATTTGAACTCTTCCTATTCAAAGGTTGGAATAGCTCATTATGAAATTTCAGGGGTGAATGAGTTAATTTTGCTTCAAAGTTGGGCCAGAGAATTATCACTGACCAAGCCTAGGTAGCTCAGTTGGTTAGAGCGACCACACTGTGATCGGAGGTCCAGGGTTCAAATCGTGGAATGGACCCATGCATTTTTACTCTCACAACACTGGTGTTGACATTTTTTTAATTATTTTTTCCATCTTTATTATTTTTTCATAGAAGTAAGAAGGTATGGGTTTCTTTTCAGAAATGATATATTGAACCTATTGTCATCTCAGAAAAAAAAGGTTTTAATTCATTGTTAAGTTTATAGCAGTGCCATAGTACAGGGTTTCTTAAACATCAATCATAAATTCTAGTATCATGCGAACAGTTATCATATATATTGAGCCAATACAGCAAGGTCAAAGGTCAGGTTACTAAATTAAGTGTGTGTGAGAATTATGAGTAATAAATGCATAGAGATAAGAGTGAACCGACAGATCTCGAGGCTAAAATCTATTTCTTACAATTTTCATACATTCCATCTTTTCCAACGAAATATTATTTAGCATCGAATATAACATTCAAGATTGTTGTTTCAGTAAATATTCACTTAAAAAAATTCCAAAAATTATAACTGGACTACACCAAATATGATGAAACTGGACACTATAATGTTTGCACATTAGATAAAATATTGTTTGTATAAAGATAAAGACAAAGAATGATCTAAATCTATAAAACATCTATATGTTTTATTTATGGCTTATATGTTATTCTTGACAATGTATGCTTAAATATGATTAATTTCAGTTTGTCCTCAAATCAGCAATGTACAATCATGAAACACATGTGTTACCAAATCAGCAATGGACAATCATGAAACACATGTTACCAAATCAGCATATACAATCATGAAACACATGTTACCAAATCAGCAACGTACAATCATGAAACACATGTTACAAAATCAGCATTGTACAATCATGAAACACATGTTACCAAATCAGCAATGTACGATCATGAAACACATGTTACCAAATCAGCATTGTACAATCATGAAACATATGTTACCAAATCAGCAATGTACAATCATGAAACACATATTACCAAATCAGCAATGTACAATCATGAAACACATATTACCAAATCAGCAATGTACAATCATGAAACACATCTGTTACCAAATCAGCAATGTACAATCATGAAACACATATTACCAAATCAGCAATGTACAATCATGAAACACATATTACCAAATCAGCAATGTACAATCATGAAACACATATTACCAAATCAGCAATGTACAATCATGAAACACATGTTACAAAATCAGCATTGTACAATCATGAAACACATGTTACCAAATCACCAATGTACAATCATGAAACACATGTTACCAAATCACCAATGTTCAATCATGAGACACATAGCATTGTACAATCATGAAACATATGTTACCAAATCAGCAATGTACAATCATGAAACACATCTGTTACCAAATCAGCAATGTACAATCATGAAACACATCTGTTACCAAATCAGCAATGTACAATCATGAAACACATCTGTTACCAAATCAGCAATGTACAATCATGAAACACATATTACCAAATCAGCAATGTACAATCATGAAACACATGTTATCAAATCAGCATTGTACAATCATGAGACACATGTTACCAAATCAGCAATGTACAATCATTAAACACATGTTACCAAATGAGCAATGTACAATCATGAAACACATGTGTTACCAAATCAGCAATGTACAATCATGAAACACATGTTACCAAATCACCAATGTACATTCATGAAACACATGTTACCAAATCACCAATGTTCAATCATGAGACACATGTTATCAAATCAGCATTGTACAATCATGAGACACATGTTACCAAATCACACATGTTACCAAATCAGCATTGTACAATCATGAAACATATGTTACCAAATGAGCATATACAATCATGAAACACATGTTACCAAAGCAGCAATGTACAATCATGAAACACATGATACCAAATCAGCAACGTACAATCATGAAACACATGGTACCAAATCACCAATGTACAATCATGAGACACATGTTACCAAATCAGCAAAGGACAATCATGAAACAAATGTTACCAAATCAGCAATAGCATTGTACAATCATGAAACACATGTTACCAAATCAGCAACGTACAATCATGAAACTCATGTGTTACCAAATCAGCATTGTACAATTATGAAACACATGTTACCAAATCAGCAGTGTACAATCATGAAACATATGTTACCAAATGAGCATATACAATCATGAAACACATGTTACCAAATCAGCATATACAATCATGAAACAAATGTTACCAAATCAACAATGTACAATCATGAAACACATGTTACCGAATCAGCAACGTACAATCATGAAACACATGGTACCAAATCAGCAACGTACAATCATGAAACACATGGTACCAAATCACCAATGTTCAATCATGAGACACATGTTACCAAATCACACATGTTACCAAATCATCATTGTACAATCATGAAACACATGTTACAAAATCCCCAATATACAATCATGAAACACATGTGTTATCACCAATGTACAATCATGAGACACATGTTACCAAATCACACATGTTACCAAATCAGCATTGTACAATTATGAAACACAGGTTACCAAATCAGCATATACAATCATGAAACACATGTTACCAAAGCAGCAATGTACAATCATGAAACACATGTTACCGAATCAGCAACGTACAATCATGAAACTCATGTGTTACCAAATCAGCATTGTACAATTATGAGACACATGTTACCAAATCAGCAATGTACAATCATGGGACACTTGTTACCAAATCAGCAATGTACAATCATGAGACACTTGTTACCATATCAGCAATGTACAATCATGAAACACTTGTTACCAAATCAGCATTGTACAATCATGAAACATATGTTACCAAATGAGCATATACAATCATGAAACACATGTTACCAAAGCAGCAATGTACAATCATGAAACACATTACAATCATGAAACATATGTTACCAAATGAGCATATACAATCATGAAACACATGTGTTATCACCAATGTACAATCATGAGACACATGTTACCAAATCACCAATGTAGATTCATGAAACATATGTGACCAAATCAGCAATGCAAAATCATGAGACACATTTTACCAAATCAGCAAAGTACAATCATGAAACAAACGTTACCAAATCAGCAATGTACAATCATGAAACACTTGTTACCAAATCAGCATTGTACAATCATGAAACACATGTTACCGAATCAGCAACGTACAATCATGAAACTCATGTGTTACCAAATCAGCATTGTACAATTATGAGACACATGTTACCAAATCAGCAAAGTCCAATCATGAAACAAATGTTCCCAAATCAGCAATGTACAATCATGAAACACTTGTTACCAAATCAGCATTGTACAATCATGAAACATATGTTACCAAATCAGCAGTGCAAAATCATGAGACACATGTTACCCAATCAGCAAAGTACAATCATGAAACAAACGTTACCAAATCAGCAATGTACAATCATGAGACACTTGTTACCAAATCAGCAATGTACAATCATGAAACACATGTTACCAAATCACCAATGTACATTCATGAAACATATGTTACCAAATCAGCAATGCAAAATCATGAGACACATGTTACCAAATCAGCAAAGTACAATCATGAAACAAATGTTACCAAATCAGCAATGTACAATCATGAAACACATGTTACCAAATCAGCAACGTACAATCATGAAACACATGTGTTACCAAATCAGCATTGTACAATTATGAGACACATGTTACCAAATCAGCAATGTACAATCATGAAACACATGTGTTACCAAATCAGCAATGTACAATCATGAAACACATGTTACCAAATCAGCAATGTACAATCATGAAACACATGTTACCAAATCAGCAATGTACAATCATGAAACACATGTTACCAAATCAGCAATGTACAATCATGAAACACATGTTACCAAATCAGCAATGTACAATCATGAAACACATGTTACCAAATCAGCAATGTACAATCATGAAACACATGTTACCAAATCAGCAATGTACAATCATGAAACACATGTTACCAAATCAGCAATGTACAATCATGAAACACATGTTACCAAATCAGCAATGTACAATCATGAAACACATGTTACCAAATCAGCAATGTACAATCATGAAACACATGTTACCAAATCAGCAATGTACAATCATGAAACACATGTTACCAAATCAGCAATGTACAATCATGAAACACATGTTACCAAATCAGCAATGTACAATCATGAAACACATGTTACCAAATCAGCAATGTACAATCATGAAACACATGTTACCAAATCAGCAATGTACAATCATGAAACACATGTTACCAAATCAGCAATGTACAATCATGAAACACATGTTACCAAATCAGCAATGTACAATCATGAAACACATGTTACCAAATCAGCAATGTACAATCATGAAACACATGTTACCAAATCAGCAATGTACAATCATGAAACACATGTTACCAAATCAGCAATGTACAATCATGAAACACATGTTACCAAATCAGCAATGTACAATCATGAAACACATGTTACCAAATCAGCAATGTACAATCATGAAACACATGTTACCAAATCAGCAATGTACAATCATGAAACACATGTTACCAAATCAGCAATGTACAATCATGAAACACATGTTACCAAATCAGCAATGTACAATCATGAAACACATGTTACCAAATCAGCAATGTACAATCATGAAACACATGTTACCAAATCAGCAATGTACAATCATGAAACACATGTTACCAAATCAGCAATGTACAATCATGAAACACATGTTACCAAATCAGCAATGTACAATCATGAAACACATGTTACCAAATCAGCAATGTACAATCATGAAACACATGTTACCAAATCAGCAATGTACAATCATGAAACACATGTTACCAAATCAGCAATGTACAATCATGAAACACATGTTACCAAATCAGCAATGTACAATCATGAAACACATGTTACCAAATCAGCAATGTACAATCATGAAACACATGTTACCAAATCAGCAATGTACAATCATGAAACACATGTTACCAAATCAGCAATGTACAATCATGAAACACATGTTACCAAATCAGCAATGTACAATCATGAAACACATGTTACCAAATCAGCAATGTACAATCATGAAACACATGTTACCAAATCAGCAATGTACAATCATGAAACACATGTTACCAAATCAGCAATGTACAATCATGAAACACATGTTACCAAATCAGCAATGTACAATCATGAAACACATGTTACCAAATCAGCAATGTACAATCATGAAACACATGTTACCAAATCAGCAATGTACAATCATGAAACACATGTTACCAAATCAGCAATGTACAATCATGAAACACATGTTACCAAATCAGCAATGTACAATCATGAAACACATGTTACCAAATCAGCAATGTACAATCATGAAACACATGTTACCAAATCAGCAATGTACAATCATGAAACACATGTTACCAAATCAGCAATGTACAATCATGAAACACATGTTACCAAATCAGCAATGTACAATCATGAAACACATGTTACCAAATCAGCAATGTACAATCATGAAACACATGTTACCAAATCAGCAATGTACAATCATGAAACACATGTTACCAAATCAGCAATGTACAATCATGAAACACATGTTACCAAATCAGCAATGTACAATCATGAAACACATGTTACCAAATCAGCAATGTACAATCATGAAACACATGTTACCAAATCAGCAATGTACAATCATGAAACACATGTTACCAAATCAGCAATGTACAATCATGAAACACATGTTACCAAATCAGCAATGTACAATCATGAAACACATGTTACCAAATCAGCAATGTACAATCATGAAACACATGTTACCAAATCAGCAATGTACAATCATGAAACACATGTTACCAAATCAGCAATGTACAATCATGAAACACATGTTACCAAATCAGCAATGTACAATCATGAAACACATGTTACCAAATCAGCAATGTACAATCATGAAACACATGTTACCAAATCAGCAATGTACAATCATGAAACACATGTTACCAAATCAGCAATGTACAATCATGAAACACATGTTACCAAATCAGCAATGTACAATCATGAAACACATGTTACCAAATCAGCAATGTACAATCATGAAACACATGTTACCAAATCAGCAATGTACAATCATGAAACACATGTTACCAAATCAGCAATGTACAATCATGAAACACATGTTACCAAATCAGCAATGTACAATCATGAAACACATGTTACCAAATCAGCAATGTACAATCATGAAACACATGTTACCAAATCAGCAATGTACAATCATGAAACACATGTTACCAAATCAGCAATGTACAATCATGAAACACATGTTACCAAATCAGCAATGTACAATCATGAAACACATGTTACCAAATCAGCAATGTACAATCATGAAACACATGTTACCAAATCAGCAATGTACAATCATGAAACACATGTTACCAAATCAGCAATGTACAATCATGAAACACATGTTACCAAATCAGCAATGTACAATCATGAAACACATGTTACCAAATCAGCAATGTACAATCATGAAACACATGTTACCAAATCAGCAATGTACAATCATGAAACACATGTTACCAAATCAGCAATGTACAATCATGAAACACATGTTACCAAATCAGCAATGTACAATCATGAAACACATGTTACCAAATCAGCAATGTACAATCATGAAACACATGTTACCAAATCAGCAATGTACAATCATGAAACACATGTTACCAAATCAGCAATGTACAATCATGAAACACATGTTACCAAATCAGCAATGTACAATCATGAAACACATGTTACCAAATCAGCAATGTACAATCATGAAACACATGTTACCAAATCAGCAATGTACAATCATGAAACACATGTTACCAAATCAGCAATGTACAATCATGAAACACATGTTACCAAATCAGCAATGTACAATCATGAAACACATGTTACCAAATCAGCAATGTACAATCATGAAACACATGTTACCAAATCAGCAATGTACAATCATGAAACACATGTTACCAAATCAGCAATGTACAATCATGAAACACATGTTACCAAATCAGCAATGTACAATCATGAAACACATGTTACCAAATCAGCAATGTACAATCATGAAACACATGTTACCAAATCAGCAATGTACAATCATGAAACACATGTTACCAAATCAGCAATGTACAATCATGAAACACATGTTACCAAATCAGCAATGTACAATCATGAAACACATGTTACCAAATCAGCAATGTACAATCATGAAACACATGTTACCAAATCAGCAATGTACAATCATGAAACACATGTTACCAAATCAGCAATGTACAATCATGAAACACATGTTACCAAATCAGCAATGTACAATCATGAAACACATGTTACCAAATCAGCAATGTACAATCATGAAACACATGTTACCAAATCAGCAATGTACAATCATGAAACACATGTTACCAAATCAGCAATGTACAATCATGAAACACATGTTACCAAATCAGCAATGTACAATCATGAAACACATGTTACCAAATCAGCAATGTACAATCATGAAACACATGTTACCAAATCAGCAATGTACAATCATGAAACACATGTTACCAAATCAGCAATGTACAATCATGAAACACATGTTACCAAATCAGCAATGTACAATCATGAAACACATGTTACCAAATCAGCAATGTACAATCATGAAACACATGTTACCAAATTAGCAATGTACAATCATGAAACACGTGTTACCAAATCAGCAATGTACAATCATGAAACACATGTTACCAAATCAGCAATGTACAATCATGAAACACATGTGTTACCAAATCAGCAATGTACAATCATGAAACACATGTTACCAAATTAGCAATGTACAATCATGAAACACGTGTTACCAATTCAGCAATGTACAATCATGAAACACATGTTACCAAATCAGCAATGTACAATCATGAAACACATGTTACCAGATTAGCAATGTACAATCATGAAACACATGTGTTACCAAATTAGCAAATTTCCGTCTCTTTTCAAACTGATTTGCACAAAATTCTTTTGATTACGAAAATATTCAAGACTTTTGGTCTGCCACAATAATTTCTGTCTGCTATCTCTACAAGGTGATTGGTTTTGTGTCTCTTTTTTAAATAAATAACCTTTCATTTCAGCCAATTGCCATATATATGACTTGTGTATTAATGAGAGTTTGTTTTTTATTGATTTTGAAAGACATTTCAAGTCTCAAATACAAAATGAAAACTAGGGTCAAAAAATTGTCTGCTCTGATAATTAAAGACAAACCTTGAGGGTTGGATCCCACGTATGGTTAGCAGCGGCTTTCTCTGCCAGCGAAACTGATCTCTACAAAATACAAAATTAACTTAATGAGTTCAAGGATGATTCAACATGGAAGAATATCTATAAGCTGCCATAGCCTCACAGGGCAATTATTAAAGTAGGAAATGTCTGTAAGACATGAATGTTCCCTGTGGCTCTGTGGTTGAACTAATAAACAGCGACAGAGACCTTGACGTCGATCCTGAAATACGAACTCATACAAGCTATTCTGTATATTATGATCTTTGTACAAATATTGAGGAAAATTATTAAGACATGAAGTTGGAAGAGGCATAACAATATATTGGAACAGGACGGGACATAGATGGAGATGAGCAACAATATATGACCTGGAATGAAGGTGAACGTCATTTAACTCGTTCACCCCTGAAGACACCTTTGAACTCCTCCAATTCAAATTTGGAATAGTTCATTACGAAATTGCAGGGGTGAATGAGACAATGAATGCATTTTTAGCCACAGGCTAGCTATTAATGCTAAATAGTGTCTGTCCTAGACCTAAAAGTTCTTGAGAAGATGCAAAAACGTCAATTGTCAATGGAGCATGGACAACAATGGATGGCAAAAGGTCACCAAATAGAGGTGTCACGATTCACCGCGATGAACTTGTACCGCAATTATTTATGTTCGATTCAATTCACAATATATTTTTCCGGATTTTCAATGCGTCACGATCTGAATATTAGTGTATGCCGCTTTAGCCGAAACGTCTGTGAGACGTTCAATTTCATTGACTGATCTCTAAACCCTCAACCAATCAGCTGCGAGAAAACTTATCTTTAAATATTGACATTACAATGTCATGATATTACGTCTTTCGTCTTAATATTAACATTACAATGAGTGACAGAAATTGAGTGATTCAGAAAAATATGACATGGGTGTTATTAATGTATTCCTTGAAAGTACAAGTCACAAACTCTATAAAAAACAGCAAATTTTTAAAGCCTTTTAAAAATTTAAAAGGATAAGTCTTATAATATTATTTTCAAACAAATAGAAAATTTGACATGCATTATCAGAAAAAAAATGGCCTTTTCTGTAAAATATAGAGAAGTACTAAACATAGCACTGGCAACAACAAATCTGATTTACACTACAGTAAATAAAGAGTGTGATCTCTCACACTCCCCTGTGTTCATAACGGAAGTCATTTTTAATGCGATTGTGTAATATGATTTGCCAGAACGCCTCAAGAATCCCACAGACAATACGGATGATATTGGCCGAAATGACAAATGGGGAAATGGAAAGTGATAATGTTACGGATTTCCTGCTCTGTACGGTTACCACTGGCAATTGATCTTGTCTGATGAGTTTGATGGTCATTATAAATTATAAATCCTTATTATAGAAAAGATTTAGTGTCTGGGATCTCTTAGTTCGGCTTAACTATCAGTACAAATTTTAAGGCCCTTTCATGGAAGGTACCAAATAGGAGACCTGGCATCAACAAGTTTTGCTTATTTCCCTAAGACACATCTACATACAAATTATGTAGCAAGACAATAATATATCAGGCTTACACTGCAGCTTAAGAAGAATTCGAAAATTTAAATAATTCCAGATTTACCATTAGTTAAGGCAATTCACTACAATTTCTGAATTTTACTAAATAATTCTCTTATAACTGACTCCATCCATGTCGTATGATATAGGTCTGCATTCTCATGTACTTTAACATTTAAGGTGTAAACAGTTTCATAGTAAGAATCGGTAACAGCCTTTGCACAAAACTATAATTTGAAAAGTAAATGAATGAACAGGTGATGGATGGTGGATGCAATTATTGGTGGATGGATGGCTGAATTGGAAAGAATGAAAACATTTACTAGCTAACAGGCTATTGCCGATCAGGTGGGCTGAGAAGAAATAATGAAACTTTTTCAATCATGAAGAAACACTGTAAAATTGGAGTGTCGTGCTAAAACATCATCGTGACGAGTGATGTGTGCAGGACAATTTGATTCTACGACCAAATGATCTCTGCCATAACGACTGCTCCTACAGCAGTCAGCGGACATGCTCACAGCACATATATAACTCCTTATAATCGCTCTAGTGTGAAAACGTAGAAACATTTCTTCTACAGAAATGCATCCATGAAATGTCTGAAATTGATGTTTATATGGTTGCAAATACTTTTTAACTCTTTCAAAAATGAAAATGGACTTTAAATCTACACACACAATGATGATGTAAACAAATTGAGATGGTCAGGCCATAACACTTTACTAAACATTACTGAGGGAAGTAGATATTTCCCTGACAAGTTCCACTACCTTTATTTTTGATACCCCATACTAGGGAGACCATTAAACTGAGGACTCAAAAGGACCAGGAATGCGTTATCATTATCAACCTGCAGACGTTCGGAGAAAGCTGAAGAACTCGCCGAGCACGACCCAAATTAGTTTTCAGTACATTCATATTCATCTTTTCAGGAAAATATTGTACAGCAATCATGAAGCGGGAACCCCTAAGGGCCCAAGGGAATACCATAATGACAAAAACTGTATATGATTGGTTCACTGCTGGGTGTAAAGTGGACAGAGAGCGCCCAGAAGACGAGGGAGTTCGTGACCGTACTAACTGACTCTGGACACCAATTTCCTACAATAATTTGCCATGTCAGTGCGATTTTTAGGGTACTTTTATTCAGAGTAAGCAGCTTTATGTCTCAACACACAATATGGTTTAGATTATTGCGATCAGACCTCTTTATACCAGCCTTTTACCGGTAGATCATTTAGTGTGATCAGACCTCCTAGTTCTAGTCCAGTTTCTTGGTATAATTTTCTGTGATCACCCTTCATGTTTCAATCTTACTGATTTTTATAACTTACTGTTAAAAGTTAACCCTGTATCTACTGTCAAAGGGAAAATACTGTAAGCTTTAAACAATTCTATTCAGTCACCAAGATTGGCTTCAGGGCGAAGATTTGTCCTTTTGTTACAGAATCGACCATTTGAAGCCAAAATTGTCTCTTTGTGGTTTTAATGGACACTGTCCAGTGTTGAAATTAGATAAATATTGAACAATACACTGATTAGTATTCAATTTAAACAACAATGTATTTTTCTGAGCATATTTGGGGCACTCACCTGGAGGTTCATCCCTTTGGTTTAAATAACTGAATGGTTAAGTACGGTTTCTACCATTCAGGGAATATTCATTCCAACTGATTTACATCATTCAACTCGATGGAAAAGCTGATAATGAAAGTTTAAAAGTTTTGATACAGTTCTCAGGAATCCTTTTGCTCTTTTATGTTTATGTTAACCTTTAATTTACCACAAATTCTTATTCACTGTATTCAAAGCTGTAGATTTTCTTTTTCAGATGAAGTGATGGTAGAATAGAAGTGGTAATTTGCTGTTTCAGATGAAGCGATGGTAGAATATATGTGGTAATTTGCTGTTTCAGATGAAGCGATGGTAGAATATAAGTGGTAATTTGCTTTGGTTCACCTTTGGTATGAATGAATACAAGAGGCCCAAGAGGGCCTGTATCGCTCACCTGAATATTTAAGCAGTCAGAGCAAAATATTCTCATTAAATATTATATTGCACTAAAAATATTTCCCTCGCAAACTTTGTTGGCTCCATCTGTTGAAACTACCAGCAAAGTATTATTATAAGATTCTATGCTTTTTGATTCTTCTTCAGAAGTTGCTGACATATTTTTCCCTGTGATCTTGTAAGTAGGTCAATGTCATTTTCCTTCTCAAATTGGTTAGCTCTATTCCAAAAAGCTACCAGCCAAATCTTATGAATCCATTCCTTTTAGTTCTCAAGAACAAATCCATTAAAATGTTGTTGACCTCTGTGACCTCTAAAGTAGGTTGAGGTCATTTTCATTTGCAAACTTTGGTGAGCTCTATCCCGGGAAGTCACCAGCCAAATATTATAATTTTATGCCTTTTAATTCTTCAGAAGAAGCTGTTTGAACTGTTTGACATATTTGAACGCTGTGACCTTGAAAGTAGGTCAAGGTCATTTTCATTCGCAAACTTTGTTTGGCTCTTTCCCAGGAAGCCACCTGCCAAATATTAAGATTTTATAACTACCAGTTCTTCAGAAGAAGTCGTTTAAAGTGTTTGACATATCTGCCTCATGTGACCTTAAAAGAAGGTCAAGGTCATTTTCATTCTCAAACTTTGTTCGGCTCTTTCCTAGGAAGCTACAAGCCAAATATAGAGATTATATACCTTTCAGTTCTTCAGAAGAAGTCGTTTGAAGTGTCTGACACATTTGACTCCTGTGACCTTGAAAGAAGGTCAAGGTCATTTTCATTCTCAAACTTTGTCGGGCTCTATCCAAGGAAGCCATCAATCAAAAATAAAGATTCTATACCTTTCAGTTCTTCAGAAGAAGTCATTTGAAGCTTTTGACATATATGACCCCTGTGACCTTGAAAGTAGGTCAAACTAGTTTTCATTCTTAAACTTTGTCGGGCACTATCCAAGGAAGCCACCAGCCAAATATAAAGATTATATACCTTTCAGTTCTTCAGAAGAAGTCGTTTGAAGTTTTTGACATATTTGACCCGAGTGACCTTGAAAGTAGGTCAAACCAATTTTCATTCTCAAACTTTGTTGGTCTCTATCCCAGGAAGCCACCAGCCAAATATGAGGATTCTATACCTTTTAGTTCTTTAGAAGAAGTCGTTTGAAGTTTTTGACATATTTGAACCCTGTGACCTTAAAAACAGGTCAAGGTCATTTTCGTTCTCAAACTTTGTAGGGCTCCTACCAACGAAGCTCTCAGGCAAATATCATGACTCTAGGCCTGTCCGTTCTTCAAAAGAAGTTGTTTAAAGGAAAAGTTGACGGACGAGGACGGACGGACGGACGACGGACGGACGGACGACGGACGCCGCGCCATGGCCAGGTGAGCTAATAACTACACAACTGAATCTAGTTTTGTTCACAAATAATACCAGAAAACATATATGAAGCAGAATCGCGTTGAGAAAGTCATTCAAAATGGTATAGCCTTGT